TATTCTCATACCAGCTCTTGCTTATTTTGTCATCTTATATGACTCACCTTCAAGTATTAAAATAGGTTTCCACTTGTATTTAAACCTGTAGTACACAGCAGTCCCAATTATTTTTAGCCACTATTATAGTAAAATGATAGACTTAATGAAGATTCATACATTGCTCTTTAAAACGTTTTTCTTTTCTTTTTGTTCTGATGAAGAATATTTCATGACTGTACAGTGCAAAATGAAAAATTAAACTCAATCGCTTGATGTCCTTTGCACTGCTTTTAACAACAGGTGAATGTGAAGTACTTTGTGAAAGCCTAAATATGCAAGACTTGACACTAATTCATACCATAAATTACTAATAAACACAAATCAAATCATCTGTTAACATCTTGATGTTAACAGATGATTAAGATGTTGTAAGATGTTGCGGTCTTGTTAGCATTTGGCATTATCTAGCAAGAACAGTCATAGGCATATTGTATAAACTGATTCACTTAAAGGCAGAAGTAACACTTTAAGTAGAAAACTGACATGAGATAATTTAACATTTTTCACTATTCGCCCTGAAGAAATTTACATTGATTATTAACATTCAAAGCAGAACCAATATATTAGAATACTTACATGCCAGAATGTGCCTTAGTGGTTCATGGTTTGTTGGGTTTTTTTTGTAACCATTTAAATTTTATAATAGGTAATATACTTTTTAAGATTGTGTAACTTTTAAAGGAAACAATATATTTCTTAAAGTGATACAACAATGATAACAGGGACAAAGCCTTATTTCTTTCTGCTTTCTCCTTTATACATTAAACATAGAACGGCTGAGATTGGAAAGGACCTCTGGAAATTGCCTAGTCCAGCTCGCTTGTTTAAAACTGGGCCATCTATAGCCAGTTGCTCTAGAGTGTCTCCAAAGATGGGAACTCTGGGCAACCTGGTCCAGAGTTTGATCACTCTCACTTTACAAATTTCTTCCTCATCTTTAAATGGAATTTCCTGTATTTTAATTTGTGCCCATTATCTCTTGTCCTGTCACTGGGCCCTACAGAGAATGGTCTGCTCTATCTCTCCACCCATCAGGTATATTTACAGACCTGATCTCCTCTGAGCTTTCTCTCCACACTGAACATTCCCAACTGTCTCAGCTTCTTTTTTTCTGTCAAATGCTGCAATCCCTTAGACATCTTTGTGGCTCTTCACTGAGCTTGCTCTAATATGTCCATGTGACTTTTGGGGTACCAAGATGGGAATAGGACACCAGATGTGGTCTTAACCAGTGTCAAGTACAGGGGAAGGACCATTTGCCTCAACTTGCTGGCCAATGCTTGCTCTTATGCAGCCCAAGGAGGCTGTTGGCCACCTTTGCCACATCCACCACTTTTCTAGGGGACTGAGGTGAGGCTGACTGGCCTGTAGTTCTCCAGATGCACCTTCTTGCCCTTCTTGAAGATAACATTAACATTTGCTTTCCTCTAGTCCTCAGGATTTTCTCCTGATCATCATGACCTCTCAAAGATAATTTAGAGTACCCTTACAATATTTGCCAACTCCCTTAATATTCACAGGTGCACCCTGTCATATCCCAGAGATCTCTATATATCCAGCTTGTTTAGATATTTTGTAAACTGATCCTCCTCCACACCAAGGTTGTCTTCCTTGCTCCAGTTTTTCCCACTGGACTCTGGGACCTGTCATTGCTGACGTCAATCAGCAGATTGCCAGGAAAAAAGAAACAAGTGAAGAAGGTATTTGAGTACCTCAGCCTTTTCTGTGCCCGTTTTCACCAAGCCCCTGCCCCATCTGGCAGTGGGCCCACATTTGTCCTAATTTCCCTTTTGCTGATTATATACCTACACATAGGCTTTGGCTTTCCTAATCCCATTTTTGCACACTTGCACTCTGTGTCTATATTCCACCTGGGACACCTGTTCTTGCTTCCCGCTCTTGTACACTTCCTTTTTGTATTTAACTAGATGATTTTAAGGTCCTTTCCAATCCTAACTATTCTATAATGCTATAACTGTAGTCAGTGGTTCCTTGTTCACCTATGCAGGGTCTGCTTGACTTTCTGCTCATTGAGATGGACAATCCTGCAGCTTGGAGGAAACAGTCCCTGAAAACCATCAGCTCTCCTGGATTCCTCTTCTTTCCATGACCATATTTCATGGGATGTTTCCAAGTTCCTGAACAAGACAAAATCTGCTCTCCTGAAGTTCAGGGTTATGATTCTGCTATTTGTTCCCTCCTCTTGGGATCCTGAACTCCACCATCCCATGGTCATTGCAGGTAAATCTACCCCAAACCTTCACGTCCCTTGTTTGTACACATCAGGTCTAGTAAACAGCCTCCCCTTGTCAGCTCCTCTACCAGCTGTGTCAGGAAGCTACCAGTGCTCTCCAGAAACTCCCTTGACAGCTTGTGGCCTGCTGTATTGCCCTTCCAGCAGATTCCAGGGTGATTCAAGTCTTCCTGTGAGTCCAGGGCCTGCAAGCATAAGGCTTCTTCCAACTGCCTGAAGAATGTCACATACTTCTTCCTGATCAGGTGGTCTGCAGTAGATGCCCACCACAACACTGCCCACCTTGGTGTCCCTTTTTAATCTTGACTTGCTAGGTCTCAGCAAATCATCAGTACTCAAGCAAAACTTGATGTGTTCCTTCTGCTCCCTCCCCTCCTTGCCAACCCAGCCTATGCTTCTTAAAAAGCCTGCCAGCCATCCACTGCAGCGCTCCAGCAATGTAAGCTATCCCACTACATCTCTGTGATCCCAATTACATCATAGCCCTGTAACTGCAGGCAGGTCTTGAATTTCTTCAGAATTAAGCCAAGAGCTGCTTTAAAGTCTGTTTTAATTAGCATCTTAACAATAACCCAGTAATATTAGTGCCCCAAAGAACAATCACACAGACAAAAGAACTCCTTCAACAGCAAAAGAGGAAAGGAAAAAGCAATCACATGCATTTTATTGGTATGGATCTACAGTCCCATTACAATTGGCTAAATATGACTTCTTTTGGTTTGGGTTTGATTTTGGTTTTGGTTTTTTTTAATGGTTTTGTTGTTATTTTTGGGGGGTGTGGTGGTTTGGTTTTTTGTGGGTGTGGTGGTTTGGTGTGGGGGGGGGTTGTTGGTTTTTTGGGGGGGGGGGGGGTTTTTTTGCCTTTTTTTTTTTTTTTTAACTAATACATCTGGCCCAGTTCACTCAAGGTCATAAGAACAATTTTGTTTTCTGTATTATAATTGTTTTCCATTCAAGGATCTAACCCAGTGGTTGTTCTTGGGCTTATAACTTACTATAGGCAAAGACACATACGACTGACAAGATACAGGTCTCTTCTTCATGGTAAGGACACTATCTTCCTTTGGAGGAGGCACATGTACAGGTTTCCAAGGAATGGGGTTACAATACGCTGGAACTGGATACAAATTTCCATCAGCATACCCTAAAATGTTTAGAAAACACATGTAACTAAAAGAGACTATTTACACTACAAGCTTCACAATGCAAGCATTTATAATAATTATCTGGACTAGCAAAGACAACAGCATCTGCAGAGGAAGACGGCATAAGCAGATCATATAATCTAAGTTATTTATTTTTTTTACCAATAACATATGGCATATTCTTCATCTCTATTTAAAATAATAAGCAGGTCAGATGCGGTGTAACATTTATAATGCTTAATCCTTTGTGTAAAAGCTTTAAATGTCTACAAATTAGCTACTCTGCATTATTTCAAAGCCTTTATAAATAAAACTTCCTGCCACCACATATGCAAAGCTCACATATTTTTTCTTCTTTGCTTAACTGTTATTTTTCATTTTATTGAGGAGAAAAAGACATTAATTTTCCACATATACATTAATAACCTGCAATGAATAACCCAGGGCCCATAAGGCAGTATCAGAAAACATGAAATGAAACAGAAGAAACATGTTTCCTTATCAGTCATTTGTCTGTAGTGAAACTTCAGCGCATACATCATGATTGGATAAAACATCATGATTGGGTAAAACAAAGTCTGTAACACATTCCATTGCATGAACACAACTGAGTAGAGAACTATTATTCAGAAATCACTTAAAAAAGTGATTGCAGCTGTGGGGAAGTAATGAAGATCCAAAACAAAACATGAGGGCAAGGCATATATCTATAAACAAACAGAAGCAAAAGAACAAAGGTCGTTCACCTGCTTTACACATTTTTCTTAAACTTTCAGAGGCTGGAATTTAGGTCCTAAAATATTTTCTGTTGAGAATTTGAATAATAGCAATTATTTTAATTCTATGAAAAAAAAGAAAGACAAAAGCGTATATATATATTTAATCTAATTAAGTACACAAACATAAAATGTAATTCTATTTCTTACTGCTCTTCTGCTTTTGTACCGTGCGGGATGACAGAAAGTGCTAAATAAAGTGAGATTCACAAAACACCCCACTATCAACAGCATTCCCTTTAACACTTCCCTTTTGAAGAAAAAAGGAATAGGATTACAGAAGGCAAGAAGGTACAATCCAGGTGCAAAGCTAAATGAAAAGGATAGCTTAGCTTAGAATGCAGGTTGATTCCCAATTCTCCTTTTTCAGACAGAACTTCAGTCAGATTTGCACCTCAAAAACCCACCTCCTTTCTAAGGGGGATTCAGGTGTGATAAGGTGGCACACACCTTCTGTAACACAAACACTAACTTTACCAGGATGCTAACACAACTGATTTGCTTTACAGGAACCAGTAACTGGTTCTAGCGATTCTTATGCCAGTTAAGAAAAATTAGGTCAAAATCAGTTATAATTTGGTATGCCACATTATTCTCTCAATGTAATTTTCATCCCAAATAACATGAAGGGCTACAAAGATGCACAAAGGGCCTCAGAGTAAAAGCTTCTCTGATTCACACCCTATGAGGTATTCATTCCTATGTGCCAAAATTAGATACTGGATGAAAATCTGAAATGAGCTACATTTTACATTAAAAGTTTAGAGGGAAGGAACCACAAACCTAAGTCACGACATAGATGTAGAAGTACAAACCTGTAGTCTTCCCACATGGAAAGCCATAACCATTTAAAACAGGGCGCGGTTTATTTCTAGCATTATGTAGCCATTCCTTAAAGATCTTCTCTGATCTTGCTTTCTTCTCCTGTAGCTCAGCTTCCCTTTCTCTTTCTTTTTCCTAAAAACAAAACAAAAATCCAAGAAACTTAGAGACAAAGCCCTGTACAATATACACAAAATGGTAAAATAAATCTTTTGCAGATTCCCAGACTGCTAAGTAAATTTCAAATGTTTTCAAATACATTTTCCTGACAATAGAAAATTTTTTTTTTTTTTCCTTCCCCCCTTTAAGTCTTGAAAAAAAAGGAAAAAAAATCAACTTCCGCATTAATCCAGTTTCTCTGAGAAAAAACTCTAAGGAACCTATTGGAAGAGTACATGCAGAAGGTATTCTGAGCATAACGAGCAGATGACCAGGGCCTACTGTGCTGCAGTTAGCCTAAAGAGGCTACTGCATCTGGGACAGCCACCCACTCTTCTTCTCATTTACCCATATTCATGCAGCTCTGGGTCAGCCATGACTGTGTTGCCTCCAAGCCTGGAGCAGGCTTGGGGAACCATTAATCAGAAAAAAGAGTAAAACTAATATGCTTAGGCATAGCATTTAGATTTAAACTCAATTTAATTGATACCATGAACACAGCTTATAAGAACCTGCATAATGAAGACATGTCTAAAAGAACACACGTGGCTTAAATCTGACTCATTTTCTTGGGTTGCCAGGTCCTTGTGCTGTGCATTTTAGAGCTCAGCAGAAACACAGAATCAACTTGTTAATCAGGAAATAAACACAACCAGTGCAGAACATTTAGGTGTGCTTTAATTATATGCGAAATTTTGAAATGCTGTGAAATTGATGTCATTAAGGCCTGAAAATTGATCTGATACAGTTGATGGTATTTTAAAGTTAACCCAAAGAAATCATTACATGTACTTGTGAAATACTTACAAATGTGTTCTGCACTTTAAAAACTATTGTAACGTCAAGAGGAATATAGAGAAGTGTTTCTCACCATAATCCTCCCCACACTTAGCTACAACAGTAGTGTAGTACTCCTATAATATTACATATTCTACTGAAAAATAAACCTGTAATGTTAATTAAATTAAAATACACCAATCAATCAATCAGTCTCACAGATAAGACAGCTGGTCACACCACGCATAGTTTTCAGCCATAATCATTACCAATATGTGATACTTCAGAGGAATTCTGTATGATTCCTGCAAACATAGCCTTGTTAGAGCATTTGTTCTAGTAAACCAGAGTACCTCAAAGCCTGTACTTTAGGAAGCTTACAATAAGTAAGAGGTCTTCTGAAGCTCACCATAAAAATGCATAGGTGACTAATTAATATGAAATAACATTAAAATTATAACTCCAAGCATTAAATTAGTACAGACAGATACAAAGAAAAATGCTTCTCATTAGAAATATGTGCAAGCGTAATAATAATAGAACAGTGGTGCTGGGAGAAAATTGTGCATATATGCAGTTGTCTAGTTTCTGTCTTGGTCACCCTGAGTTATGATAGGTCTGAGTTATAAAAGTCACTGACTGGGTTGTATTTCTCCTTCCCTTATCACATCGCAGTTGCAGGGGGTTTGCAGTAGACTATTAGCCAAAATGCGTTACTATGCATCTTGCTTTGCAGACCGTACCTCAGTGTCCTTTCAGAAGTTGTAATGTGTCCATTCACGTACAACTTCTGAAAGGGTTTTTCTGATGTACGACACTGCCATTTGATAAATTCTACTCAATTTCATCAATATTTAATAATCCTGTATTTAGGTAACTCCATCCAAATAAATTATTAGTTGATTAATACCTTCTCTTTCTTCCTCTTTTCTGCCTCTTCAGCTCTCTTCTTCTTTAACCATTCTTTATACTTTACTTCAGCCTTTTCTTGTAACTGCAACTTTTCTAGTTCCCTTGTGGCTTTTTCTGCCATTTCTTTGCTCAACTTTCGTTCCCTTTCCCTTCTTTCCTACGTGCAACAGATCAAATAAACAGAACATAAACTTTTCAGTATAATTCAATAAGCAATTCTAAAGAGGAATACAGTTCATTGTATTAGATAATTACAAATAAAATTAGCATAGACCTGAGAAAAAGAAACTCATATCGTGAGCTCTTTGAAAACAGAACCAATCACCACCAGGTTTCAGATAAAATAATTTCAAACACAAAAAACTGTCACAAAACACGATACAAAAATTACTTTCAGGACTCCTTTTGCAATGATATTTACTACTTTGTTTGATTTAGTCAATGCTTTTTAAAATACTTCAGACACTTCTCAGTTTTTCTGGGAAAGAAATACAGGTTGCAGTTCTTGACAATGACGTGTTAAGATTTACTTTTCAGTAATTCAAAGCAAACTACACTTTCAAAATGGAAGTCAGACAACTTGTCCCCTGCTAAGAGTCATTGAGATATGCAGATTGTTCAGGACACTTAAACATAAATTGGTACAAAAATAAGAAGTTCACATCAGAATCTAGTTCATGTTTCGTGGTATTCTCTACATTTATTTTATTCTTTAGTTTATTTGCATACCAACTTCTATGAATCCATCTACACATTTCTCCTCTTAAATGATGAAAGGGAAAATGAGAAAATACCTTTGAGGGGAGGCAAAAAGTGGGAACTGTGTGAAGTGAAATTGCTATATAATTGTATAATTTGGAAGATGTAATACACAGAGGTGTCATTCACTTCCACATCTTTTCAATGTTTTGAGGATCATTCTCTAAGCAAACAAGCACACACTGATAGACTTTTCTTGATCTGAGTGGGAGGTATTTTCACTGGAAGACCAACAATAGCTCTCTCATCCCTTCCCTTTCATAACCTTCATGAAATGTCTGGGATTCTACTGATTTGGCATTACTTCTGCTTAGTTTGCTTAGCTCTGAAGAACCTGCATACACATGTAAAGGTGAAGATATTTACCAGACAAGCTGCACACATGACTTGGAAGAGAGGCCGAAGATTTGACATCAGTTTCCACTTTATAGAAAAGAACTGTTGAATAAAAATGTTGCTTTTCTTTTAAGGAATCTTTTTTTCTTTTATGCATACTTCTCTTGAACAAAGGAGATATGTAGTTTAGCAGAACTTATGCTGACACAAGAATGATTCTAGTTGGCAGCATGGATGTCAAGAGCCTAAAAATACAACTGCAAAGTATAATAAATAGATGGAAAAGAGGAAAAACACACAAAAGCAGGAATATTCATCCCATTTTACCTCTTCTAAGCACAAAAGGGCAGAAAACTAGAGCTCCACTCTGCGCCCACCATGGGCTCCTCCTCTACCATTTTTCCATATTTACTACACTTCTGGAAACTCCCAATTATGCATAATGAAACAGAAGCCACAATACTGGAGCTGAAGACCAACACAATTCTCTCAGTCTGGTCTAAGCAGACATCTGCTGGTTCAATCCTTTTCCCCATACCAAAACTTACTAGTAATCCAATAAAGTAGCACCATACAGAATAAAAACTTTGGCTTATATTGCTCTGAAAAACATTAAGTCATTTCTGCCATATATTTGATGAAATTATGAGGGGCCGATAAAGAGAAAACGCATTTCTTTCAGAACAAAACATTTGCCAATTTTTTGTAAGACACTGGATCATTAACGGTTTCATGTTTGAATCCTTATCCACACTACATGAAATCGTTTTGATAAGGAAATTATTCCCAGCATAATCTTACCTTACTCTTGGCATTCGTTATTTCTGAGCATGTCACAAGCAGAAAGAAGCAGCAGCGAGTTTACAGAACTGCTTGTGTTAGTGTGCCCTGTTCTGTGTTCGCCAACACTAGAAGAATTACTATGATTTTAACATCAGCAGCTAAATGATGCATTAACTGTGGGGGTTCCCCCCCCCCGCCCTCCTTTTACAGACTATGCCTTATTAACTATATTTACCATCATCTCCAAGGTGGATGTTTCTTCACCTAAACCATGATGGTAATTTCAGTATCACTGTTTTTGAATACTTTTGTTAAATATTCTTACCCGTGGAGGTGGTGAGTTACTGGAACAGGTTGCTCAAAGAAGTGGTAAACACTCCATCCTTGGCAATGTTCAAAGCTAGGCTGGACAGAGCCTTGGGCAACATGGTCTAGGGTGAGGCAGCCCTGCCTATGGCAGGGGTTTGGAACTAGATGATCTTAAGGTCCTTTCCAACACAAACCGTTCTGTGATTCTATCTGATGACGAAGGATTATTTGTGTACGCACTGCACACAATTTCACAAAACAAGTAACTATTAACTGTATTTTCTCTTTTTTTTTCATTTGACTTTGAGTACATCCTAGCAAACATCAGCTGAATCTGTTCTGCCACATAGGGAAAATGGTCAGAGATAACCAATGAAAAATGGTCACATACACTCCAATTTCAATGTTGCCCTGGGTTCAGCTATAGCAGTCATTT